TTCGCTCGTGACCGCACGTTTGTCGCAGAGGGGGTTACACGGGGCAGGTAACGATTAGAGAGGAAGAGAGAGAGGGCTTGAGGTGTAGCCTAGTTTAAGAAAGAGAGGGAATGGGACTGCATGCTCAGGGGTATTTTCTCTCTCTGAAAGTTTTCTCTCTCCTCTCGGCGGGATTAAGGGTTTAGAAGCAAAAGACAAGTGAAAACAAGCGTGATGCCTCTGTTTGAGTGATGAATAATCCGCCCTTTTACAATTGACCTAAGCATGTTTATATAGAGAAGTCACCAAACAGGGGTGAATGCTAAAAACTAAGCTTAATTACAATTAAAAAAATTTAGAATAAAATCTCGAAATTAGGTACAATTACCAAAACACCCCTAAAACCTTTCATCCTAATGATGAAACCATCTCTCTCTGAGGGGCCTCCAGCCATTGCCAGATCTTGGAAGCTGTTCTGGAAACTTGCAGCGAAGGTTCAGTCGATTTGCCATTATATATTCAATGCTATTTCCATTTTGAGCATTTTGATGCCCTTTAATCATGTTGAGGCAACCTTTTTCTGCAGAGTGGAAGTCTAGCTAGATTCGTGAACTTTGGTCGCCAATGCTATTCGATCTCTGTTGTTCTGAGTCTTTACTTTGTTTGCAAATGAAAGAGGAGACTGCCACAGTCGTTTTCGACCAAGTTTGGTCTGTTTTAGTCTTCATTTGCAGCATTTCCTAATTTGGGAGCTCACCGGAAAAGGGATTCCGACGACCGGGCGTACCTGCTTTTTCTATAACCTTGGGATTTGTGCTTATCTGACCTTAGATTAAGTACAACAATTATACCAGTTTGCAGCTCTTTACAAGATGGTCGCATTGAACTCGGTTTCACGATGATCCGATGTGCAGATCTCGAGTTGTACTTCACGAGGTTCGAGATGCCTTCCTCTTGAAACCCTGATTTTTTTGGTACTGTTCTGACACTAATACGGAGCTACAGTTGTAAGGTCTTTTCTTGGCATGATAGTAGGTTGTCTAGTTTGAGGCTTATTTCATAATACAACTTTGGTCTAGCAGTGTCTTGAGTACCAGTAGAATCGAGTTGTCACGAACTCTCTCCTTATTCGTGTGGGGGATGTAAGTACATCAAAAATGACGTAGAACATCCCCCTTCATTTTTTCGTTTTTTTTTTTTCCAAAAAATCTCTGTTCTTTCGATAGCAACCAAGCAAACAGCAAGCGTCCTTTACTTTGGGGCTTCAACCCAAACATCAAGGGATGAAGATTTTAACCAAATAACCCATACAGTTTTAGGGATTCGATCTAAGCACTGATTGATTAAGGATTTACAAGTTATACAATAGCACTTCATTGCCCATAACACAAAAGGCATACTACCCTCGGGCATTGAACCCCAGAGGCATTCATATCGCTAAGAGCAAGATCCCAATGGAATTATTAGGCAGAATCCTTTGAGACTCAAAACACCAGGACATGGGGCACCTATGGGGCTTAAAACCCTAGGCAACAGACAACAGAAGCCTGCCTCATAGGGCTCACCACCTAAGCATGGTCTTCATGGTCATCCGACTCACAGTTAAAGCACAAAGGCGCCAAGATCTAAGATACTGGACTCCATGGGCCTCAAAGCCCATAAAAATTAACGTCATGCATACAGCTTTAGGATATGACTGAAGGGTCCATGAGACCCTATGTTGATGGAAAACCACATATGCCCATAGAGCGTTTGAGTACTTCACTTTCTCTTTATAAAGTCAATAAATTAAATAGAGAAGAGATATACACCAAGTTGTATTCAAAGCCTAGATGCAGACAGAAAACCTATGTCTTTCTTTTTCCGCAAAACCAACTCTAGGTTTTTCTAGAAAAGGAAAAGCTATATATGAATAAAATAATTTTGCTTGTCAACTTCTTCTTTTTCATGCATCTGCAAAACAAATTGACCCCATGGATCATAATCCTCTGCCCTCTCTCCCAGTCTCTAAATCAAAAAAATTGAGAGTTGTGGCCAGAGGGACCAAGGACAATTCGTAACTAATTAGGAAAAAGAATTAGTTACCATAATTACATACTAAGCAAGCAAATTACATTTACAACCAAGACTAGCCATCATCCTAGAAATTTCATGATAATCCAAACAATAAGGTCCCCCGGCACCCTATAGTACTTTCGGAGAGAAAAGAGGTGCTCTCGTGAACTTTCACCTTTATTGAATGTGCTTATCTTCCCAGACCATGTACCTCATATGCACAAATCAGATAAATAAGTACAAGTGGTTCTTGCAACTTAACAACTTGCCATATACTAATTAAAAGATAAATTTTACAAATAGTCCCTAAACCTCTTGAAAAATTTTGGAATATCCAATACTTTTGGAAATCTAATTAAATTACGTAATTAGATTTGCGACATTGAGACTAGAATAAAATAGACAAAATTCCATCATAGTGGAAACTCACTTCTAGATAACTTTTAACTTCCTTAAAAATTGAACAAAACAGTTTTTACTTTTTGCAAAAAGTTATCAACATGTAGGGTGAAGAAAACAACTTGGCTCTCTTAAATAGGCACTCCTACAGAATGAGAGCAAACCCATAGGCAGCAACGAGCTCTTCGAACTTCAGACTCCCATAAAGTGCCTTTTTATGTCATGGAACAGTATCGTCCTGTCTCATAACTTCAAATCCCAAAAACAATATTCATAAAAATGTCTTCCTCCAAATCCCAAAGAAGAAACATTTGTACCAAAATTCATTGGGAATAACTCATTCATAATCATAATGATCGAATACAAAGAATAGAGGAATGGAAGAAAAAATATGACTTGGGAAAGAGTCACAATGTAGGCCATGCCTTCTTTTTTGATGGACAACTTGTCGGTCTACCCTTTCCTTTTATGATTCAACAGGAACATCTGACTTGTCTTGGTCATGACGACTGCTTGCACACCAATGCTTTCCTATTAGGTAAGAAGCCAATCAATTCAAATAACTGGTCCATTAAAATAGCACCAATAATGTGCATCAGGAAACTTCAAGTGGCTTCTTTCAACTTAACACGATCTTGTATGCTAGTCTAAACAATAATTTTTCTAAATAATATCAAGTCTCTCGAAAGTCTTGGGGATATCCATTGTTGTTGAAAATCCAAATACGTCCTTAATCACAAAACACTAAGCTCATAATATTTGGAAAATTTTATTTAAAATAAAATTACACAATTAAATTATTTAACTAAAATTTAAGGCATTGGCACTAATGCAATTATAGGGTGGCTGTAAAACCATCCATCGGATGTGTATAGTTGAGATGAAGATGTTGAAATGGATGAGTGGCAAGACAAGAAATGATAGAATTTGGAATGATATATACGAGGGAACTTAAGGGTGGCTCTAATAGGCAATAAGACGAGGGACAGTAGTCTTAGGTGGGCTGACCATGTGCAGCGTAGATTTAATACAGCACCGGTTAGGAGGGAAGACTTGATTCAAGTGCAAGGCTCCAAAAAGGCAAGGGGAAGGCCCAAAAGGACATGGATGAAAGTAGTGCCAATAGATATGGTGACTTATGATCTGATTGAGGGTATGACATTTTGATAGAGCGGAATGACTGAACAGGATTTGTGTAGCCGACCCCAAATAGTTAGGATAAGGCTGGGATGTTGATGATGATGCACTGGCACTAGTACAAAACAACCACAGTTCTTATAACTATGGAAACTAAGTCCTAAATAACTTTGTACTCCCTTAAAACTTGAATAAAACAATTTTTACTTCTTGCAAAAGTCATCAATATATAGGTGAAGAATAGAACTTGGATCTCTTAGCTTTTCATACACAGGCACTTCGACAGATTGAGAGGAAATCCATGGGTAACAACAAGCTCCTCAAACTTCAGACTCCACAAACATGAGGCCGGAGTTAACCAGAGATTTCCCTTTTCTATCCTTGAACAGTATCTTCATGTCATAACTTCAAACCCAAGAAAAAAAAAACCCATAAAAATGTCTTCCTTTAAATACCACTTGAGAAAAGTTGTGTCAAAACTAATCTAGAATAACTCATTCATAATCGCAATGATCGACTACTTAAGAAGTCGTGGAATGGAAGCAAATGGATAACTGGGAAAGTGTCACAGCATAGGCAATGCCTTCTTCTTCAGTGGAAAATTTGTGGGCCTACCATTTCCTTTTATGATTCAACAGTAGCATGTGACTCACTTAGTAATGAAAAGCACTTGCATGTCATGGCTCTCCTATTAGATGAGAGGTCAACCAATTCTAATAATTGGTTCATCATTAAAATGCGTGCTGCATAGCAACTGCCAATGGTGTATGTCAGGGGAATTGATGACCACTTCATACTATTTGGGACCTGCTTAGGAAGGATCACACCCTTCAGCAACACATAAACCTGAAGGGTGACAATTCTGTGGTCCTTGCAGGAGACAATCTCCAGTCATTCTTTGGTGAGCAACACTACACCAGCCCTGGAAAGTGCAAGGCCAGATGAAGGTTTCTAAACATAGAAGTAATTCATGACAAATATCCATAAATATTTTAATAACTCATTGCCAAAGACATAAGGACAGATAAACAAGGATTATGCCTCAGTATTCCAGCACAAGATCCTTCACAGCACCATTGTGGAAGTCTGTGTGATTGGAAACATGCTTCCCTCCAGTATAATTAGGTAATCCATAATGGAGGTGCTTGAAATTATCAGTTCAGTTCATGAGCTTGAGTTTCAGCTTGAACTACTGAGTGTAATTTCCATAAAACTATTGAGTGTAGGAAATAGAGTACCTTAGTACCCCAAAATCATAATTACAACCTATATTGTACAAAGGAGTAAAAGGTAGCAAGTGGCATACCCTCATATCATATCTAAAACAGTAAGCATATTGAATGATCAGCAAGAAAAACAATCTAGGGACCAAAACAAAATACAACTTTCTATTGAGAAAACCACAGCGTCCAGAATGAAAAACTATCTACCGTGCTCTCCAGTATGATGCTCTGGAAGTGCTCTACAGAGTTGAATCATTCGCGAGAGAAAGACAGTAGGTAGTGTGGTTGCTCCCAATAATATCCCTGATGAAGCACCAGGCCTGGAGAGTTATTGCAATATAAAATTATATCCAAAATGTTAGTCAGCATGAAGAGCACTGGGGATATAAGAAACTCATCTGACTAATAAAGAAACTAGAGGACTATGTATGCAAATGCCAAACAAATGCGTGCGTACATTTTTGGGATCATATATCTGAACTCTTACAAATCTTATCGCATTCAAATGAAGTTCAGTTTGAGAAATTCATCAATCTGAAAACTTTCTTGTGATTAAGCCAACACAAAAGTCGCAACTTTGAATGTAAAGATTATCAGCCTGTGAGTTTCATTTGGTTCATTACATGAATTATGAAGAACTTAAAGAGCACTTTTGCCTTATCAAGACCGCTGTAGTTACTATGTGATTGTCACATTATGTAGTTTGAACTTTACTCTTGGTAAATAACTTTTATTCTATTGGGCAAGCATTAAGACAACATTGTAACTGAATCAGACAGGTAAAAGTGCTCAAAAGCCTTAGGCATATAGAGAGCCCATAAGGCCCAAGAAGCACCCCCCCAAGGGACTTAATGTAAAAAAGAAAGTCAGTAACAAAGAGGTCAGCAGTCAATTTAAAAATAGAAATTGCACTCTATAGCTAGAGTTATTCAACTAAACCAGCTGATACTTAACCTCCTTTTTTTCGTAAGGAAAAATCAGTTCATGATTTCCTTTTTCTTTTCTTTTTTGTTCTTTCTCCGGGGTTTTTTCTTTTCTTTTCTTTTTTAACAACTTCCTCTTCACATGAAGAAAAATGGTAATTCTTTGGAAAGTATAAACTAAAATTGCAGTTCAGTGGAAAAGATCAGCTCTAGTGCAGTTTTCTATGATAATTTTGCATAAGCCAGATGCAGTTAAACTACTAAAGAACTAAGAACATTAAAACATAACCAAGAGTTCAGTCTTAATACTATGGCCCCCCAGCATATCAGTCTTCAAGTCTTTTATAGTGCATTGAGAAGAGGCTTCTGAAGTCCAATTATTATTAGGAATTTGAGTATGTCTAAAGTGCATGGGTTAGATGCTAATCCAGGGAGGTAGAAGGTTTTTAAGGATGTCCAAAGTCCTTGAAATGGATATCCAAAACTCCAGAATGTTTGAAATCGATGAGAATATATCTGAATAGTATAAGTATGAAGTTCACTTAGATGCTATTCCCTGATCAAGTCATGTTTAGGGGATCTTTTTACGAAATAGGAAGCACCACTAATTCAACTATTAGTAGAAAGGCATGCATTTATTGACAAGAAGCAGGGAGAATATTCACAAAACACACAAAATAAATTTGTTGGCTTCTTTACTATTCAAGACATTGAACGCTCATAGTGCATGTTTTGGATTACTGTAGAAAGAGCTGAGTTGGAGTGCTCGTTGTCAAATAAGGATACTTGCAAGGAGCATAGACTACTACGGCAGGGGACCCGTAATTGATTTATCAAGGACTTGTTGACTAGAAAAACAAAAAATATGTTCCCCTCGAAGAAAGCGTCATACAACCAGATGAGGAAGCTTAAAGGAAGATGTAACTAGTTTGAAAATCCAATGTGATTTGGATCCCAATTAGAAATGAAATTACAACTGGAAACTTCTCAATCTCCTTTTCAAGGATAAAAGCAATAAATCGATTATGTGATTCTTAAAGAGGAATGAACAGACTAATTACAATATCCGAACCAACCAATAATTCTTAAATCATTCAAATTCAAACATTGCATGCTGATCTGGAGAATAGCAGTAGTGTATACATTCTTCACAAAAAATTACCATCGAACATATCAAATAATTTTTTTTTTGAAAATGTTAACTTGTATTTAAAAAAGGAATTTACATGAAGAGTAAGCTACCTATGGCATCCCACATTTCGAATGCTCAGTATACAGTAAAAAAAGAAACAAGAAGAGCAAAGATGCACAGGGGGAGAGAGACAGTAAAACCATAAAGAAGAGAGTACTAAGTATACAAGATAAAACCAAAAGAAAACAAAACAAAACTTGAAGGAGAGAGAAGCGTATTACAAAACGATAAAGTTGCTAATGAAGTTCTCCAAATACTTTGGTGGAGTAAGCTGTTCGGACCGGCTTTTAGCATCTGAGAAGCAGCTACGATGGGCAAGAAGCATTTGGAGAGAGCTACCGATGCAAGAAAACATTAACCCGGGAGACCAAACTTTTGAAGTCCTTGCTCGCCAATTGTCTACTAGGGACGATGGTGAGGCAGGCCGAAAGTCTTGTAGAATTAGAAGATGGCAACCCACCTGCAGGGTACTCGAAGTACAGATGCAGAGAGCCAGAAATGAGCAGAAGCTCAAGGAGGGAGAGAGCTAATATACCAAAGGAGGCATCCCCACATATCGGGTGGTCTACAATGGCGAGAAATAGAGGAAAGAAGGCAAGGGGCTGCGGGGTAGAGACAGTAAGTCCAAGAGAGGTGTGACCACAATTATTGTAGAAAAATAAACTGAACTAGAGAAAGAAACACATAAGAGCCGATAGAGGAGTCCTCAAGATGAGCTGAAGAACTTTGTTGTTGGGGCTGGCCGGGCATCTTCTAAGCTGGACAAGATGGGCTGCTGTAACATGGTGGCTGTAGCCCGAAAGGCTTGTGATGTTTCTGCTGTCTTTGGACCAAATTGGTCCAAAAGATTTCTTCTACAGGTTGGGGTCCAAACTAGGCCAGTTCCATTGAATTGGACATAGCCTGCCACTAGGGCCGCTTGATTCGTGGCTATTGATTCGTGGCTAGAGAGAAGAGAAAAGGGAAAGTTATCTTAATAGGGGAATGCCCAAACAAGAGATCACACCAGAATTTAATGCAAAGCCCATTCCCTAACCTGAATCTAGATTGGTTAAGGAAGGCTGATCTAGTAGAGGATATTCCTTTCCAAGCTCCTAAGGACCTGTGAGGAGGGGATCTGGGCAGCCAATCATCAGTACCCAGCCCATATTTTTTGTTGATGTTTTGTTTCCAAAGTAGAGGATGAGGTGAGGAGTATCTCCACCACCATATCCCCAAGAGGGGACCAGATTCATTGTTCTAAGGTTCTTGATACCCCGGCCTCCAAACTTTTTGGAGGACAGATAAGCCATGCAACTAAGTGGTATTTATGGGACCCCTCGACCCCAGCCCATAAGAAACCTCTCGTCAGTTTTTCCAACTGCTTAAGGACAGAGATTGGGATTTGAAACAGGGACATAGAATAAATGGGGGATGTTGGCTACCCACAAAAGAGAGGAAGCGGCCCTTCCAAGAGGCGAATTTCTATGTAAATTTTTCAATGAGGTTGTCCCATAAGTGTTTCTTAGGTTTGCCTATATAGAGGGGGAGACCTAGGAAGGGAGGGTTTTCGTGGAGCAACCTAAGCGAAGTGCAAGATGTTGTACTTCTGGGTTGTCTACCAGAATCTTTATCATTTTAGTTATGGCTAGGTTGACTTTCATCCCAGTTAGGAGCTCGAAGGTTCTAAGGTATCTCCAAAGGCAATCGAACTGTTCGGGGTTTGTATCACAGAAGAAGAGTGTATCGTCTGCATAAAGGAGGTGAGTAATCAAAGGACCAGCTCAGGTGGATCGGAACCCCGTGACACGACCCATGTCATACAACCTAGATAAGGCTCGGGACAAGAGTTCACCTCTGAGTGTGAAGAGGAAAGGCAAGAGGGGGCCTTGTCTGAACCCTCTCTCAGCTTGGAAGAAACCTTCAGAAGAGCCATTAAGGATAATTGAGAAGGAAGGGTTCAAGATACAAGCTCTAATCCAGTTTCTCCATCGGGAGCCAAAACCCATTTTGTTTTGAATGGAGTCCAAGATTGACCAGTTGACTCTATCATAGGGCTTTTCCCAATCTAATTTGATGATGAAGCCCTTCTGACCTAAGAGGGAACTAAAGTGGATAACCTCGTGTGCTGTGAGGGCAACATCTAGAATTTTCCTATTGGAAACAAATGTCGATTGGGTTGGGGAGATGACTGAGGGCAAAACCTCCTGGAGATGGGATGCTAGAGCCTTTGCTAGGATTTTGTAAGAAGAGTTGAGGAGGCTACTGGGGCAAAAATCTTTTAATCTATGGGCTCCTTCTATTTTGGGGACAAGGTCAGGAAGGTATAGTTTAAGGCTGAGTTTAGTCTACCCCTATGGTAGAACTCTTCGAAGAAAGCAAAGAGATCTAGGGTTGTTTCCCATAATTGTTGAAATAAAACAACTAGAAATCCATCCAGTCTGGGAGCTTTGTCTTTTGGGAGATCTACTGCTCCGAGGATTTCCTCAAGGGAGAAAGGTATTTCTAAGCTCAGTGAATCTTCTTGGGAAAGAGATAGGAAGGTGGGGTTACCCAAGACTGGACGAGGGTGAGAAGGCCTAGTAAACAAATTTTTGAAGAATCTAATGAAGGGCACTTGATTTCTGAGGGTTGCAAGAAAGAGTGGTTGCCTACTGAAACCAAGGTTACGGACTTTCCCCTATTTCTGGAGCTGGCTGTTTTGTGGAAGAAACCAGTGTTTTTATTCCCCTCTTTAAGCCATTTGATTCTAGAGCGTTGGAACCAATATATCTCTTCCTGCTTAAGGGTTAAGGCTAAATTTGTTTTCGCCTGAGTCCTAGAATCTATTTTCGGGTCGGGTCATAGCACGGGTTTCCTCCAGGGCATCTAGGTCTGAGATTACAGCTGTATGAGCCCTAATGGGGTCCCTAAAATTTGAGGGCAAGTTCCTACTCCAGAGTTTCAAAGAGGATTTGAGGATTTGCAGCTTACATGACAATCAGAAACCAGCCCACCCTGTGACAGAGGCAGAGGACCAAACCGAGGAAACCAATTGGGCAAAGGAGGGATCTTCCAACCATAATATATCAAGTCTAAAAGGTTTGTTTGAAGGAGGGGTTGGGTTGGTGTCTAAGTGAATGCGTTTGTGATCAAAGGTGATTTTAGGGAGGGCCCTAGAGAAGGCTCCCGGGAATGAAGATTCCCAAGAAAGGTTGATGAGGAATCGATCTATCTTTGTCACAAT